GATGGTGTCATGGACGCTGTTGATGTCCGAAAGAAACTGATGTGTTTGTTGAGAATTACCATCATGTAGGGCGATAATGTCGTCCATGTATTATCCATCATCATCATCATCATCATCATCATCATCATCATCATCATCATCATCATCGTTAATGTAAGCCCAAAAAGAAAAAAAAATTGTGAAGACTTGAGTATTTATTATTGATGACTTTTTTGTGATTATGAAAGTATATTTAACGTTTCGCCCTAATGGGCTTTTGAATTTCTTCATCTTCCTCCTCCTCCTCATCATCATCATCATCATCATCAGCAGCAGCAGCAGCACCACCACCATCACCACCACCGAAAGCAGCAGTAGCAATTGGTAGAGAATTCGTTAAATGTCTTAGTTCTAAATACATTCAATATACCCAGGAACAATGTTTTCACCGCAGCGACCCTTGGTCAGGAGCAAATGTGTATAGATAAATTAATACAAATGTGAGGCAGCGTGGTGGAATCAGGCTCTCGTAAATTTTTGAGCATGTACAGTTATTGGTATCATCTTAAAGCTTGTTCATTTGTCTTTATTTGGGTGAAAAAAATATCCATTTATCTTGAACACAAATCGAGATATCTGCGAATGAAGGGGGTGGGGGTCACCCGTTTTCAGAGGTATGATGAGTGAGAAAATGGCCGCCAAAGTTTAGTTATTTCCTTAGCTCAAGAGTCCGTGGTAACTGAAAATTTACATGTTTTGTGTCTTTAATCAACGTTTTTCAGAAATAATCCATACAGAAATGAGTTCTTTAATGAACATGAAAAGTGTTGAGCCGAAAAACAAAAATTATATAAAAATTCACAAACCTGTGGAAAAATGCAAGTTTCTTCACTTTGATTGTTTTGATGAGAGCCTGACTCCCCCGCGCTGCCTCACAAATAGTACATGTCACCCATTTTGTTTCTGGCTGTGTTCGAAGATGCTTGAATTTTTGTGTTATTTTTTAATCCCAGTTTGTGGAAGTGTAAGACCTCACAAGACATAGAATAAGCCAGCAGAAGGTTGACGGGTGCTTTGGTGTGGTTTATGCCTTCTTTCTAAACTGTGTTTAATCATTGTGCTCGTTGTTGTGACTCCACAGAGAAAAATCTTATCCATGTGATTGCCAGCCTCTTCATAGCTGGAACAGAAACAACGGCTTCCGCGATCCTGTGGTGTCACCTTTTCATTCTGCATCATCCTAAAGTGCAAGAAAAGGTGCGTGAGCAACAAGTTTACCTTTTATGCAAAGAATTGTGTTATGTTTTATAATATCGCAGAATGTGTACTCTGACGTAGTTCCGGTTAATCATCATCATAATCATCACCATCATCATCATCATCATCATCATCATCATCATCATCATCATCATCATCATCA